AATAAACACTCATTATTACTTTATAAAAAATTATAAAATAATTTAAACTATAATAAACTATACAAAAATGACAATTAAATGAGAAATAAACCTTTTAATATAGGAGTAAGAGATCCTCTTCCATCTTAGTTTTTTTTGTAGGTTAAAACCTCATTTTGGTCCTCAATTATTGTACGGACCATTGATTTGGTCCCTAAACTAAAAAAATCAATGATTTAATCTTTACTGATTATCATTTTAACCTCAATTTGGTCTTTTTATTAAAAATCCACCTACGTGTACAGATACTTGACGAGGAAAAGATGACATGTAAAAGTATCTTGACACATAAGGTTGATAATGTGATAAAAATACATGACATGTAATTTTTAGTTAAAAATTAAAAGTTAAATTATAAATAGCACTAAAATTACATTTTTACCCTCAACTTTAACCACACATCACTTTCTTTCCTTCTTTCGTTGTCCCTTACTTTTCATCTCCAACGTTGTTCATCTTCTTCCCTAGATCCTTGTTTGCTAGCTTGGGTTTTAATCATCTCCTTTATCATCTCTTTCATTATCTCATCTCCCCCATCTAAACCTTCTCATCAAGCTTGCTGAGGGTTCGAAACCCAATAGATTTGCTGGGTGGGTATCGTGTTTTACTGGGTTCTTGAGAACCCAGCACCAAGCAATCTACTGGGTTGGGATCGATCAAACCCAACCAAATGTTGGGTTCTTGAGAACCCAACGATTTGCTGGGTCACTTTGGAAGTTTGTTTAAGAACCAGAGCACAAACTGGAGCCCGGAAAGAGATTGCCTAGGCCCGACTCCCAAGCCCTTAGAAATAAGGATTGTGTATTTGTGTTTATGATAACCGACCCAAATCATTGATTGAAGGTGAGCCCAGTGAAGAAACATAAGTGAGCACATCTTACTGGGAAAAGTTGAAAATCTCTGTTTCTCAAGCACATTCTCTTCCTCTGACTTTTTTTTTTTTTTTAAATAAAAAATAAAAAAATATTATGTAGTTAAGATTGTATAATATTTATTATTAAATGTAAAGTAAATCCCTTGTTATTGATGGCTGTTTCCCTGTCTAATAACCATGTTTTGCCATTCGGAACTGAATTTATAACATAAAAATTCTCCCCTTTTTCTTTTTCTTTTTTTTTCGTTTTTTGTTTTTTGATGACAGAGTGACAGCATAAAAAATATTCATCAAAATCCCAAATGCTTTGGCGTGTGGGACTCGTCTCCTCCAAATTCAAGTTGCGGAGTTATGTTCCAAACCCAACTAAGTTTAAAACAATTAATGGGGCGGCCACCGCCCAACTGATGTTGAAGCTTGAAAGCCACAAGTGACCAGAAATTTTGACGCTTTCCTAATGAAAATCTTTGCCTTTATATCTACATTTTTTTTGTTGATATTTCATTATCACTGATCCTCTTTGTTGATCCCACTCCCATGTGATTCCTTAATTCTAGATCGGAAAAGAAGTTATAATTTAGCCAGAAGAAGTATGAATGATCTCTAACCTTAATTAATTACTTCCTAATATTGAAGTTTTGAAAGTAATTGACTAAGGTCTATTTCATCAATTCAATCATTACCATTTTGAGATGGCTTGTCAAGGGAATCCCACCGGTATGGCAATGGTTATTGGTCGGACCAAAAACTTAATAATAATGCAATAAATTGTCACTTATTCTCCCTCAGTTTGCCACCTACCTCCAAGTTCAATGTGTTCTATCTGTCAACCAATTGTTTTTCCTTTTCTTTCCATGGGAATTGTTTTCCTTATTAGTATCGATCACTTCCAACTCTTACTCTCAAAACCGACAAAAAGAGGGAAAAAAATTTATTATTCAATACACTTTGATGCCAAATTTATAAATTATAAATAAGAGTTTAACTCAATTAATATTTATTAATTTAAAATTTTTAATTGAAAGTTAAAATTAAGAATTCAAACTGTTGTATTGTTAAGTGATTGATTGCTCTAATATATCAAAAAGTAAAAATGAAAAACCAAACTCATGGACCACCAGAAAAGAGTTGCAAAGTACTATTATTAAGAACTGAATCAGCCTCGATTTTTTTTTAATTGATTCAAGGTTCACTGGGACCTTATTATAGAGGATAAGATATATATAATTAGTAAATTAAAGTGGTGTGATCACCATTCACACCAGCATAACTAAGTTCAAAAGAATTTGTTGACGTATTTCTGCAGGAGTTGAGAAATGAGGACTCTGTATTCTCTTTCCGTGGGATGGTAACCATCCCAGAAAATATATTTGGACACATCTGCACATGTTGATGGACTCAACTTATTGCATAACACTGCCACCTCTAGTTTCCCTGGACCACAGCACCCTTTGTTCGCAACTTCAAATCCTGAAACAATAACCAAGTCAAATAAACATTATTAGCCAATTCTCTTGAATTTAATGGACTGCGATAATGGTTGATCATTAATACACAAAGGGCTCCTTAAAATTCGTCATGTGATTGAGAATTTAAATTTTTATATTAATCTTATGGGTAAACAAAAGAAAGTTTTAAAAATCAAGAGATCTTAATACTTAAAACGTCCATCACAATCATCTGTTGAGTAAGTTCAAGGGTTCATCTAATAAATGACTGTGATAGACGTCCTAAGTGTCAGGACATCTTAATTTTCATATTTTTGTAAACAAAAATTTGAAAAGAAACAAGTTATTTCTTATTGTGCAGGTCATTATATGAAATTAAAAAAAAAAAATGATACACGAGGAACACAAAAAATACCATATTTTTGATTACCAGTTATCATGGAAAGTATAAAGTTCGGAGTCCATTTGCTCTAAGCAGTTAAAGCATCCACAAGTGCTACATCTCCAGTAGGCAATACAATAGCAGTATGTAATATGCACAAGCCAAGGATTCTAAGCAACTCAATGTAATGTGCAAGCATCCTGGTTTGGAAGAGTCAATTTTATCTCTCTATCATCCTAGCATGATTTCAAGGATGATACATATCACTAGCTTTGAGTTATCATAATCAAAGTCACCTATAATGCGCACAAAATAATGCTGCGTTAGTACTTTCTATGATTCTGTATGTATGCTACATTCTATCCATGTGACATTGGACAAATATATGCAGCTCAAAAGTAGAGGAAGATCATATTCAAATACATGAACAATGAAAGAAACAGCAATTAACCAGAAAGTAAACAACACATTCAATATTAACATAGAAAGATCCCAATGAAACATCCCAGTTGAGTAAAGAGTACCAGAATAACAACTTTCGGCATGGTAGGGATTAGGGAAAATTACATAAGGCACTTTTATTAAGATAGAGAATTTAAATAATAAGCATCAGGTGGAAACAGCAACCCTCAATCTCCGTACATACAAACTAAAAACCGCACGACAGGACTTATTCTTGGTTCCCGTTGATTCGCCCGGCGAAACTCCTTTTTTTGCTCAGGTGTAAAGTCATTCTTAATTTTGAGTATCTTACAGATCTGCATTGGTGTTTTGCCCCTAATCATGTCTGCAAACGTCAGGCGTGTCAGGTGCAACAAGCTCTGGATGTTCAAATAATTCGCAGCCTGAAGATCGCATAGATTAATAAGATTACCGATTCCATTGACTGAAAAACAATTTTTTGAAGTTTCGTATCCTAAAAATCTAGGCATTCAGCACAAACCCCAAATAAAAAAAATCCAAAATTTTCAACAAATTAAGATAAAGCAATCATTCATCCAATAAATTAAACATATAGCAAAAGAAAAACGAAAGATTAAATTACAATAAATCGAAATAGATTGAAGAAAAAGTAAGACGTACCTCCATGAGGGCAAAGAGGGTGGCCTGATTGATCTTGACGAACTTGGAGTCCCAGGCCTTGAGCTTTTCGTCCGCAGAAGTAGCACCATCTTCAGACTTGGAAGCCTCAACGTGCTTCTTGCAGTATTGGATCACCTTAGATAAGATCCTGCTCGTGACGTTCGGTAGAGGGATCCCGTCATCGGCGCAACCATCCTCGATCACATGTTTAATCGTCTGCGACTGGAGGGCCACCAACTCGTCCACCTCAAAAGTCTTCTTATCGGAGCTCTTGAGGGTGATTTTCCTTTCCATCGACGACATGACGATCGGCCGATTGGACAGTTCGAGACAACCCTAGGCGGGAGAGAGGAAAGAGGGGTTATTATTGGGAATTTGGATGAAGAGCTTTCTAGAGAAAAGCGTGTGGAAAACTGAAAAAGGCAAGAGGCATGTGCGAATCAAAATAATTGGGAATTTGGATGAAGAGCCTTCTAGAGAAAAGCGTATGGAAAACTGAAAAAGGCAAGAGGCGTGTGCGAATCAAAATAATTGAAGGGAGGAAGACTCCACCCCTCACGGATGCCACGGTAATACCCATTTTTCCAGTTTTGCCCTCCAATGTTTCTATCTCACTTTCATCCGTTAGTAATAGCTTTGTGGTCATTTTGCTGCCAAAATACTTTGTCCATTGTTCACAGAGATTGTTTTCTCTGTTTTGCCCTCTGTGCTGTGTCTCTCCATTCCTGCCTTGCAACATGGCTTTTGGGTCTTTTTGCTTTTTTTTTTTTTTTTTTTTTCTGTGGTCTGGCTTATCAATCTCCTCCTGTGTTTGATTCAGTGTTCCAAAATTGGTCTTCGATCGTCGATCGTGAAAGAGGAAAATCGTGTTCCCGGATGCGCTGGATTCTGAGATTTGAGTAGCTGAATGGCAATCGTCCCTGCGGTTTTGCATTCAGTCATCATTGTGAAACCTCAGGGAGTGTTGTTTTTCTTTTAGTGCTTATTGCTTGGTACGTTTCTGCGCTTGGAGTGGATCCTAATGTCTGCTAGGTACATATTTTTTGCTTTTTATTTTGAATTCTTTCTCTTGTGCAGGTTTTGGGTTTCAAGAATTAAGTTTATTTTGACAGGAAAACAGTGGGTTTTAGGATTTGAAAGGTGGGGTTTTTAGATTGACTGACTTCGACTGTGTTGGGTCTTCAGGTGGTTTCTCTAATTCATAGATTGTTCTCCTATAATTTCTTTTGTGTGGACTTGGCTTGCGGATTTGATAGTGCTAGCAAGTATGACTTGCAGTTTCTTTTACCTGCGTTTCTGATTATGGTGTCTGCAGTGGGGATGATTCCTGAAGGAAATTTTCGGTTGGTGATTTAATTTTTAGTTGGTGTTGAGTGTTTTTTCTTCCTTTTCTTCCCTTTTGGACTTCAGACTACCTTTCTCTTCCACCTTTTGTTTGCTTTTGGGTTTAGATGGGTCGGTGATGGTTGTCAGTGTCCGATGAGATCTCTGGGATTCCTTTATCCAATATCTCTCTCTTCTCGGCAGTATCTTGAAGTTTTCTATCTCAATTCCTTACACTTTTTCTTGCCTTCTGATTTAGATGGTGATTGCTGATGCTGCGGTGGGGGAGAGCAAGTGGTGTGAATTAGACACATTGAGGAGGTGGGTTTTATTTGATTTTGTGTTGTGTACTCTGTTTAATTCTTTTAATTTCTTACCACAAATTGTTTTTATAATTCGTTTCTAGATTATATACATGGTATAGTGGGGTCTTGAGAGCCAAGGTGTGATGATTTTAAGATGCTGCTTTGGCTTTAAGCTCAATGATATGTTCTCGAAATCTTTTGCAAGTGTGTAGAAGGTTTATGTTACGTTGGTACTGTTTTAATGATAAAAACATTATCACACATTATCAATTTAATTTTCTTGGTGAAAGTAAAGATCAAGTAGTGTTGAACATGTTGACTCCTTGTCTGATTTTGCTCTCCATCTGTTGCATTATAGGTTCAAATAGCTGTCATATCTGTGTGGATGTCCTAAAATATATAATCTTGCAAGTTTTATTTCAGCACATAGAAATGAACATTTAGCAGCCACATTGAGGTCCTTCAGTGAAGAGCTGAAAGCGAAAGAACCACAATCTGAGAGGAAAAGGAAGAAAGAATCAAAGAAAGATGACAAAGCTACTAGCATTGTGGTAGATATCTCTGATCTTTGATTCTGTATATGTTGATAGGTGCTAATCATGTCAAGTTAAAATTTGTAATGCCTGCTTAGTTGGACACAGAATCAAAGAAAGATCACAAAGCTTCTACCAGTGAGGTAGATATCTCTGGTCTTTGATTCTGAATATGTTGATAGATACTAATCACGTCAACTTAAAGTTTGAAATGCCTGCTTAGTTGGTGACATAATTTTGAAAGCTTTTTTTTTTTTGATAGTTAGATCATATACTGCAGTATCATGGATTCATTTTCATTTGGTTTGTGACTTTATGTGCTGCCTGAACTAACTTTAAGCACCTTGGTTTAATCCATACTGATTGGGTCTTGTATTTACTCATCCATGTGTATTTGTGCTCAATGTTACCTGTGACTTAATCTTATTCATGGTTTAGAGTTGAGTTAAGTAACTATTAATTCTATAAGCCCTGGAGTGGTCTGAAGGGCGGAATTGATTTGTGGACAGGTTTTATGTCCATCACCAGCTATTTTACTTATGGTTTTTTTTTTCCAATGAGGTTACCTGTTTATGGTTTAAGGTAATTAACATATTTGGATTTTGTCCTATATATGGCTTGATTGCTAACAAGTTTGCCTACCTTTTTTTCACTTGGTTGCAATTCCTCTCAAATTGATTTTGGGTAGTGTTTCTTTATGAAAATTTTTCATGGCTGATTTTGCCAACTGCATTGAGCTGCAGCCAGAGGTGATTTATACATGCCATTAAGAAATTGCAGAGGCCTATTCTTTCCTTCCACAGTCAGGATGGTTAAAAGCATGTTTGCAAGTTGTAGGGTGTCAACCAGATTCTTTGGATTAATTCAGTTTTGTTTCTTTTCTTGATGTTGCTTAAGCAGTTAAAGTTGCTAAATTGATGGTTGTTTGTCCTTCTTTGTTGTTACTTGGTTTTAGTATAGGTTCTAAAGGGAATCAAACCGATAGTGAGAGGCAAATGGAAGACGGTGATAAACGTGGTGGAAGAGGTATTTTGTTTTTATCAGCCTCTATCATCTCCTTTTCAATGTCCCTCATTTCTTCAGTTTTTTTTTTCTTTTTTTTTTTTCCTCTATGTTTTATCTCTTTTCTTTTTCATTTTTTGGGTTTCTTTGCTTTTGTGAGATTTAAGCACTAGAATAGTTAGTAGGAGAAAGACAACCCTCTCACGTTGCTACAGTGATCTCATTGTCTCACGGTGGGTTTATAAGCACCATAACAAACTCTTCTTTCGCTAAAGTTTTTATTTTTGTTGCTTGCAAATAGCTATGGGAGCTTGAATGTGGACCTAACATTCATGTACATGTATCTTTATTGCTGAAAGCTTTTGATTGTTGCTGCAATGCTCTTTCATTCTAGAGCAGAATTCTTGCATTTGTTCTTTATTATGTGCTACCAACTACTTTGTGGAGTATGAAGAAGATTAAAGGAATTACCTAGAAATTAAATAATTTTCTTTGTCTTTTTTTCTTTTTGTGTGGTTTTATTTTCTTTGTATTTATGTGTTTCTAATTTTAATCTTCTTCATTCAAATGCAATAATTCCAACATAGAGAAATCAGTGCACATCCTTACATATTATTGCAGCTTTGGGCCAAGAAGGTATGAGAAGATGGACAAATTCTTGGCTAATATAAGAGAGGGCCAGTATCTTCGTGCAAAGGACATGGTCTTAAAACTCAATAAGTTCAAACTACCTCTTAAATGGGAACATGTTGCCAAGATTGTAGGTAATGGTGTTGCTCCTGGGGGATTGCATGTTGCTAGAGCTACGGTTGAAGGATGGTGGACTTGCTTATTGAACGTAAAAGTCTAACCACTAGCTTTGTATTTTCTTAATTGCGAACTAATGCACATTTTTTTGTTTAGAAATTATATATGAGTTGAATTGTAATATTTTTTATGTTTAGGATTCAGGGGAAGTAATCCAAAATAAGTTGAAGTATCAGAACATAAATTGATGTTTACTATTTTGCTAAATAAAATGGCAAACACTCGAGATCTTATGTCAATAACAAATGTGTGATTGTATTTTTTGCTAACTTGAAAAGCTTCAGTTGGTGAAAACATGCAAAACAAGAAATCCATGAATTTATGAATTTCTATTTTAGTGAAAGCTTTAGAACTGCAGCTTATATCATATTGATCGGTAACTTAACAATCTCTAATGCCTATGTCTATTTAAAATTAGACCTAAAACTACACCTTGCTGTTGACTCAATGTACTCCAAGAGGGGGGTGAATTGGAGTTCCAAAAATTCTCCCCTTTTTGCAACCACAAAACCAAAATTAAAGAGAGTAGAGAAGAAGAGCTTGCTCAATGATTTATAGAGGTTCGGCCCAACCACTTGGAGCCTAATCCTCTACCTTGGCTTCACTCATTTCCTCCACACTCTCCACTAACAACAACAAGGGTGGCTTAAAGGAGCCACTCAATCCTTTTACAAGAAGAAGAGTATTTCTCTCAAACCTCACCCCTTTACAATGTGAACCCCACAAATCCTCTCAATAGATCACTCTTGAAGGAATAATCACACCCCCAAGATCACTCACTAATAGTACAAGAAGAGGATTACAAACAAAGATCTCTCAAAAATAAAAAATTCAAGTTAAAGCTCATGTATGTAGATAAAGATATTCAATACAATACTCTCTAAACTTCTTCACATATGTTACCAACCATATTTATAGCCCCTTGCTCGAAAATAGCCGTTTCTAGCTATTGGGGGTCATTAAATGCTCTGCAGGACGCAAACCTCAAGCTGCAGAATTGTGAGAAGAGCCGGCTTAACTTTCTAGAGCCGGCTCTGTAGAGCCGGCTTACACTTTTAAAGCCGGCTATCCGGGTTTGCAGCACATTCTATTTTTCTCAAGAGCCGGCTACAAAACTTTGAGCCGGCTTTACAACTCCGACTTTAAATACATTAAATAATCTTCAAATGACTCGACCGTTGTGCATTAAATGCACCCTCATAGCCGGCTTCAAAGCTAGAGCCGGCTTTGCATCTTTTCTCCGCGCGCGCCAAAGAACGGGCTTCAAAAATTTTTGCCTGTAGAGCCGGCTGCAGCTTCCAGAGCCGACTCTCTGCATCCGATTTCACCAGAGCCGGCTGCACTTTACTAGAGCCAACTCTCTGCACATCTTGAATCCTTTTGGTCTATTTTTAGTGCAATCCAAGTTTACTTGCAATATTTTAGCAACTTAACTACACACTTAAATAAACCAATTAGTCACTCAAATGTGTTTTGTAATCATCAAAATCATAGGTACAACACTTGCAATGCGGGTTTGTCTCATATTCGAGTTTTTATGTAAAGAACAATAAAATTTGATAGGATTAATTAAAATTTCATGTATGCATAGTTATAATATAAAAATATAATACGAACAGCTCGTTTCGTGTTCGAAGTTTACAAAATTCCTTTCCCTCTTCTCCCAATTAATATGTAAATGATTGTAATTTGTTCAAAAAATATAAAAATTTAGTATATTTTGTGACTCTTCTTTTAAGATTTAATATATTACAAGCATTTGAGGAAATCAAGTGAGAAATATTAAAAAGTATCAACCTCAATTCATACAAATTTTTAAATATAATAACTTACATATGTAAAAGAGATGTTTCTCATTAAAAAGGTTTTCTTTGGTTTAAGATAGATCAAACTGTTGGCCGAGATGATAACCCAAGAGGGGGATAAATTGGGTTTTCAAAAACTTTATGCAACTTTTAAAAACAAAAACAATGAACAAGCATAAATAAATGCAAATAATTAATTTAAAGTGTAGAAATTAAAAGTTAAGAAAAGAGAAAGCTTAAACACAAGAATCTATAGTGGTTCAATCACAATTTGTGTCTAATCCACTCCTCAAGCCGCCTGCTTGAGAGTTAGTTTTATATTCAGAATCTCTCCTCCAACTTTTGAGTGTAGAGTCAATCATTTGCAATAACTTTGTTGGTGCTATCCACTTTCAACAACTTAATTCCTTGTTACAATCTCTCACAAACCCAATCCTATACCACAAGGATGGTTTTCTCTAGATCTACCAAGGTTACCTAATCACTTTCCCAATAGCTTATGGGTGTTATTAAATCGTTCAATTCCCTAATTACAAATCTCTCAACCCTTTCTATACCTCAAAGATGAATTACTAGATCTAACAAGGTTTCTCCAATCCCTCTCACTTATTACAATGAAAAAAAACAAGAAAATAAGAGATTTCACAAAGCACAAAGTAAAAACTTAATCACTCTTTGTTTTTCAACTTGAAGCTCTATTCTTCGTGCCTCTCCATTCTTTTAAATCTGATTTTATAGCTTGAGGATGCTCAATCAATGTGTTTTACCATTGGAACTCTTTTTTGGAATGAATATATCCAAATATGGTAAGGAAATTAATGTCCCAACACAAGGGGTTGGAACCTAAGTGATTTTTCTGCACAATCTTGCAAAAACAAAATTGTCAAGGGTTCCAAACCTTGTCCCAACGGTTGAACAAGGGTTGGAACTTCAATTGTAGAATGTACTTCCTATTTTTGGCTTCCCATAATAAGGAAATTTAATCATACAATTAAATGGACTTTCACCAAAAAGGAAATACATTCAAAACTTAATCTTTGAAAATTAATTTAATATTGCTATCAATAAATCATATATTCACAAGTAAATCAACTTCCAATCAATTCAATAAATTATATATTTTAATTTATATTTGGTTTTCAAATCACCAAAATCAAGAATAACACAAACAACTCCCTGCAACGCGTGGTATCATCTCTAGTATATACTAGGGGGCCAATGGTCCAATCCAACCATTGAACGGATTGGATTAAGGGAGATCAAATGATGTGTATGTGGCTATTAAAACCATAGTGTGAGTTGATACGTGGCTCGGATCTAAGCAAACTATTCCAACAACTAGACGATCATGTGCCGTGAGTGTATAATATCGTTTTAGCCTCCTTGTTTTCTTTTTTTTTTTTTTTTTTTTTTTTTTT